ACGATATCGTCAGCAAATCTTAGATTGTGCAGGCGTTCACCATGTATATTCAATCCTTTATTTTCCCATTGTAGCTTTTTAAAAATATCCTCGAGCACTAAAGTGAATAGTTTTGGAGATATTACGTCCCATAACGTAACTCCTCTTTTGGCGTTTATTCTGTCAGATGATTGATGAAGTCTTATCGACATTGTCGAAGTCCTATAGATGTTTTCAATGAGGTTTATACAGGGTGTCACGAAAGGTTTGTTACAAACTTCTAGGGATGGTAGATCTCGTTAAAATAAAAACTTTTTCTTAATAAACATGTGTCCGGAAATGTTTCGTTTTCCAGATATACAGGGTGGCCCAAATTTGAGCCTCATCATTGGGATCTCGGTAACCGTAAGAGATACGGGGTCGGTTAAATTATGGCAAAGTTGCGCAATTTTATGACCAATAGAATACCGTTTTGAAACTAGAAAGATTCCGAATACTTCCGGAGATATTCGGAAAAAAACAAAATTTTGTAAAATCGTTTTTATTTTTTCCCGGGCTTATTTGAAAAGTAATTTTAAAATAAATGTCACTTCATCATTGTCACTTTTTCTCCTTTAGAAGATGGTGCTACTAAATTTAAAATTCGACGTTTCGTCTTCAGGCGGCCATCCTCAAGTTCCTTTTTTTAAATACGGACCTGGATTTTTTATTTGCGATTTTGTCATCTTTGCGCATCCTAAAACCGATACTGTTTATAATTTTTCAATAACACAGCAAAAAAAGCAGGTCCGTATTTATAAAAAAAATTAATGATGATTTCAGAGGAACGAAACATTGGATTTTAAATTTAATACCGCCATCTTGTAGAGAAGTAAAAATGACAATGGCAAGGTGAAATTAGTTTTCCACAATCTTTTTAAATAAAATCAGGAAAAAATTAAAACTATACGAAAAAAACATGAATTTCTCGTTTTTCTTAAATTTTTTCCTGATTTCATTTAAAAAGATTTTGAAAAACTAATTTCATATTCCCATTGTCACTTTCTCTTCTTTACAAGATGGCAGTATAAAATTTGAAATTCGACGTTTTTCAAATACGGACCTGCTTTTTTACCTTGTTATTGAATAATTATAAACAGTATCGGTTTGGATGTCCAAAGATGACAAAATCGCAAATAAAAAATCTAGGTTCGTATTTAAAAAACGTAAGTGGATGGCCGCCTGAAGACGAAACGTCGAATTTTAAATTTAGGCTGTGTTCTTTTTTTAACTGGCAGTACTGAATTTCTACTGTGCTGTTTTTACTGTACTCGTTTCTTTTTCAACCAGCAGCTGTATTACTGGTTGATTGGAACGAATTCCAGTAATTATTGACATTTGACCGGAGACATAGCGGACCTAACCTAACAACATGATGATTTTATATTTTTTGTTTTTCTTTTTCAGGCTTTCTCCATAAATAATTTAATAGTTGGTTATTATTACTGTAAATTATTATAGTAATACAATGCTTTTATTAACGTAGTTGCCCTGGCCTCTGAAGGTCACTGGAATAAATAACCAAAGATACCTTTTGTTTTGTTATTACAAACAAACCTTCCAAGTTTAAAGAAAATCTGGCAAGGGATTTTTCAGCTAATAAACCTCAGTGAAAAACTTTTTTTTTTCAAACTTTTAACAGCCCTTATCTCAAAAACTAAGCATATGCGTACCCATAGCCGCTTTCGGGTGCAGGGGTGCTTTATTTAAAAGATGCATCTTTGCGTACACGCCAATGACGTCATTCGTGTTTGATAATTGGTGCACAGCTTATTTGACATGCACTTTTTCAATCGCAACTGACGTCATTCGCGTCATATTTGCGCGTACGCAAAGTTGCATCAATTTCAAATAAAGCCCCCCAGAGTGTTTAGATAACCATAGTGCGAAGCGAAGCTCTGAACACTCCCGTTACTCCATGTGTTTTGCGAACGCGTCAAACTGTAGTCGGAGTAGGTACTTCGGAGTAACTCGGGAGGGCTCAAAGGGTGGCACCCGAAAGCAGCTGATGTTTCTAATTATTAAAGGGGGTGTGCGCCAAAAATTAAAGTTTTAGTGTAAAAAAATCTAAGAATAACTGTTCAAACCTCGTTATTCTACGATAAACCATCGTTGAGATATACCGCTTTAAAGTGTGGACGACGCTCTCGTGACGTCACGAAAACTTCGTCCAGCGGCGCTCTGCATTGTTAATTTGATTGTTCCCGGCACGCGTGAGTGGTTTTTGTTTAGATTATTGCAGGTAACACAGGAAAAACATTATGTAAATTTAATGAAATCCACTTTCTCGTGCGTCGCTTGAGCTTTCGTGACGTCATAGGGTGAGATGCGGTACCTTTATAGAGCCATATCTGCGGTATTATTTGTCATAGAGGGGTGCGGATTTCACTGTTATTCTTAGATTTTTTTTCTGGCGCACACCCCCTTTAATTAATTTTTAATGGGTACTCTTTCTCCTAGAAGTTTGATCCCATTATCCAGAAATATCCAGTATAGCTCAATCAATTTAAATTAAGTTACCTACTGAATGTAGCTTAACAAGCAATATATGGAATAAATCACAAGATAAAACTGCTATAACTTAAGGGATATTTTAGTCTGGAGCTTTGAATGTGACTCTTGTAGAAATGAATAAAAGTTATAGCTGTGCAAATAGCCAAAAAAGTGATATTTGCCTTCTTAACTTTTATTTGCTATATCAAATAATAGAATTATTATTTAACTGTCTACTTTTATGGCTCTATTAATTTAAATTAAGTTTAAGTAAGTTGCCTACTCTACTAGCACTCTTTGACTCTACTATCAAATCAGTATGAATATGAAATAAAACACAAGATAAAGTGATAGCTATTTGTTTTGTTATAATATCAATATTTAATAAAAGAAATAAACCAACTAATGTGAAATCGAATAACATTTAACTTAAATATTGAAAATAACAAATAACACCTAATAAATTATAGTGTTTATCCTTGTGCAAAAAAATACAACATTCAATGTTAAAGTTATAATTGTTGCATAATTTCCTCTCCTCCAAACAAAACAATTGACACCCCACCACTTTTACTGGATTACAGTAGCTTCCCAGACATAGCAAGCACAGTACTATTATTTGACGTATTGGTGACCTAGTACGTAATTTTTTAGTGTTCTTGAACGTATCAAAACAATCAACACCCTACCACTTTTGAATTACAGTAGCTTATTCCCGGATACAGCAAGCACAGTAATAAATTAGTGACGTATTGGTGACGCCATACGTCATTTTTTCAGTAAATCAGTACATTGCATTTTAATTTTGGAACCCTTCCCAGTAAATTAGGCAATTCAATCCATCTGTCAAAAAGGAAAATTCAATGTGGCGTGGCGGCCAAGCAAGTTTGTTTTGAATATGTTTTTATGCGTTTTTTTAATTATTTTGCATAGAGTTTTGCTTACAACTTTGATTTTCATTATTTAATTAATAAAATATTTGTTAATAAGGTACCTAAACTATTAATTCGGGCAGAAACTAGACTTTTTTTGTGTTTTTTGGCCCATGTGTGGCCGCCACGCCATCTTGAATGTCACGTGGTTTGAATTGCCTAATACAGTACTGACAGTTGAAAAAAGAACACAGCCTTAGTACCACCATCTTCTAAAGGGGAAGAAGTGACAATGATGAAGTGACATTTATTTTAAAATTGCTTTTCAAATAAGCCCTGGAAAAATTTTAACCGACCCCGTATCTCTTACGGTTACCGAGATCCCAATTATGAGGCTCAAATTTGGGCCACCCTGTATATCTGGAAAACGAAGCATTTCCGGACACATGTTTATCAAGAAAAAAGTTTTATTTTTACGAGATCTACCATCCCTAGAAGTTTGTAACAAACCTTTCGTGACACCCTATATAACGTTGATCCACTCTGGCATTTCTCAAGGAGTTTATTATTGCCCAGATTTCTATTGTGTCGAAGGCTTTTCGGAAATCGACAAAAGCCATATCCATAGGTTTATATTATATTCTGTAGCTTTCTCGATCACCTGCCTTACTGTGTGTAGATGTTCTGTCGTGCTATAATGGCTTCGGAATCCAGCCTGTTCCTTTGGTTGGTAAACTTCGAGTTTTCGCTCTAATCTGTTGGTGATTATTCTGGTGAATAATTTATATATTTGTGATAGTAAGCTTATCGGCCGGTAGTTTTCGAGATCAGTCGGGTCACCTTTCTTGTAGATCAGAACAACTACAGCATTCTCCCAATCTTTGGGTATATGTTCTTCTGTTAGGTACTTATTGAATAATTTCACTAGTTCTTGTCTCGTCTTAGTATTGCTTTCCGTGAGCATTTCAGGCAGAATCAGAATGTTGTCTTCTCCTGCCGCTTTACCATTTTTCATCTGGGATAACCCTTTCTCCAGTTCTTCCATATTTATGTCGGGCATTTCTTCTGAGTTTGCATTTACTATTCGTATTTTGTCTTCTCTTGTCCTTGTGTTTGCTATTTTAGATTCGTACAGATCTCTATAGAAAGATTCCACAACTGTTAATATCTGTTGTCTGTCTTCTACTACGTTGTTTTTCGCATCTTTTATTTTTGTTATCTCTTTCTTAGATTGACTCTTAGGTAGGTATAATAGGTAACGTATAACTATCATAATGGTGAGGATTTAAGGACACACTGTATGCTCTTTTTCTGTGTAATTGACATAAATGAATTTTGATTTGATTCGACTTTTTGTCGTGTGGTCAATGGTCATGCGCTTGCTTATTAGGTAGGTACTTATTTATACTAAAATCGTAGGCTACATTTTCAACAACAGTTTATACCTATTATGAGAAAAAATTGACATTTTCTTTCTTTTTAAAATTAATAAGATATTCCTGGAGATATAATTAGGATGCGTTTTGTGATATTATGAGTGGATTCACTAATGACAATATTCCGAAAAAGCAAGATACAAATTAGTATACCGTATACCTAAATTTCTCCATGGTCAAAGGAATATACCTAAACTAACAAGAATTCTACAAAATTCAAGGGTGGTACCTAGTTACTATAGGTTGATATCAATATGCTCTAAATTGCCTGAAAGTTGAACAAAATTGTAGTCGTAACGACGAGCAATAATCAATACATTTAAAGTCAAAACAGGGAAAAATCGAAGAACGCTGAAAGCTGGCAACATTGGTGAATTCACAGCTGTGTTAGCTGTGGGAGAATAGGCAAAGCATGAGCAAAAGCAAAACGACTAAACTGAAAACGATTATTTCAACCAAAAATTGTCATGAGAACGTTCGCGTTCGTCCTTCAACCACGATTAAAATACATTTCGCCAGTTAAACGTGATTCTATTTGAACTGGTTCGTTTGTGCCGCGAGTGAGGAAAATTCAGTGTTTCGCGAACCACACATTTGTCGAGATTGTCCTTCGCCTGGAACAGGACGACATGGCAGCTTAGTCTGTCCGGATTCTGGAAACAGTGGACAACCAACACAACCCATTGCCAACAAAAAAACTTTTTAAGAACTCTTCCAGTTTTTGCTGAGAAATGGATTATAAAAGTGTTGTATACAATGCAGCAAGGGATGGCAACCTAAACAGGCTAAAGGTAAGATCTATTTTGTTTGTAGGCCTACCTACATTCATAATCGCTTTGCTTCATATTTGTTTTGGTTAGTATACTCACTTTTGTGGCATTTTTTCTAGGTATGATAACTGTGGATTGTTGTAGTGGTTTAAACTGGTAAGGGAGATAACATCTTTAATTAAATATTTTGGAAATTTTCTCTATAGCTCAATGCTATAGCTGCATCACAGAACAGTAGTAACCCAGTTACTAAAAATCACAATAGGCCATAAGGTCATGTCAAGTCAAAAATTAATAATAAATCTCTGGAACTTTGAAAATCCCAAAAATTCATATCATTGTTGCCCATGAGCTCATGTTATTTATATCTACCTATTTTTTGGATTGGCTTGCATTTCCTATAGTAACTGCTATAATGTATTTATGATTTTTCAGCACAATTTAATTTCACATTATTTGAACTTAAATTATTTAGCTTTGTTTTTCCATTCCTATGCAAAAGGTTCCTTTAATTATATTTCTTGTTTCAATTTTGGAACAATAACAAAACATAAGGCACCTAATGGAAGATCCAATGCCAAATTAACCAATGGCCAATAATCAGCTTTTGTGAACAAATATTCATATTTACACAATAAAGCACATTTTGAGTTTGAGTTTGAGCCTAATGACTTATAAATAAATAAATAAATAGTCTTTATTTCCAACAGGTACTTAAACCCACTTACAGGAAATTCTTTAAATATAAATAATAAATAAATTGGTAGTAAAAAACATAAACAGTAATTACAAAATTGAAGTTAATTTTAAGAAAAAATAAAAATAAAATAAAATAATAAAAAAGAATGAGAAAAAAAGTGATAATGCAATAATGGCAAAATACTAATTACAATTATAATCAATTAAAACATCAATTATAACAATAGCAATATCAGTAAAAGCGTCATTGGGAATACTAACAATACGACCACAATAATATAAGCAGCACGAGAAGCAGCAGCACCATTAGCAATAATAACATCAACAGAAGCAAAAATCAATCACTCTACACGTAAGAGAGCCTCAATAATACTATTTAGCGTGTCAGCATGTATATCACAGTGATGAGACAGTGAATTGAAGACTGTACACATGAAATATATCGGACACTGCATAAGGATATTGGATTTTGCTGCGCTGAGATAGAAAGCTGAAGCATGCCGAGACTCGGGGCGAGGAACACGGAATGGCAACTCCCCAAGAAGAAACGGGCAATCGGTTGTATTATGAGTGAGACCATACAATAATGTGAGGCTCTGAATTTTCCTTCTTGTCATTAAAGATGGCAAATTGAATCTTTGTAGGAGCAGTCTGTGATCGCAACCTCTCGGGGTCTGTGAAGTCAAACTTCAACATTAAGAATTAAGGTTAAAAAAGTCGTAATTTTTTGACGTTTGCGGAAAAAAGTATTTTTAAGGCGCTTATGTGAATTGCAGAATTCGCTTTGCTGATTCTGCAAATCTTCACATGCTATAAAAATGTACTTTTAACACTTAGGTATATCATAAATAACTGTTTCGAGGTATGTAGTTTTATATTGGAATAAGGGAAAATATATCTGGCGTCTCATTTGAAATCAGAAAGTTATGGTCAGTTCCGGTGCAACCGACCATGGGGTAGTATACAAGTGATTTTTAATTACTACGTAGTGATATACTCGACGTATCGTACTATTTAGTGTAATCAGTTGCTTTGTAAAAACCGCAGTAGCCTGGAATTTTATTTTTTAAATTTCCTCTTAGCCCCGCCCCTACGTGAAAATAAAAGTTCGTGACGTAGTTAGTTTTTCCAATCTGGCAACACATCACGGTTTTGAGAACACACAATTTGCACTGACATTGACTGTCAAGAATGAAACATCAAATTTACTACATCAAACAACGTAAACAAGTCTGTGACAATGTCACATGTCACACGATTCACACGACACCACACGTCGTTGAACTGTTGAATTTAGCTGTCATTTTGAGCAGCGTTGCCAGATGGTCAGCGGCTTGAATACTATTGGTCGCCGCTGTGGCGCTAAATTCAAATTACAGTTTGTTTTTCTCTTACTAATTCTATAGACACTATGCTGGAAAATAATTTAGTATCCCACTATACCATCACCATTTAGCCTATAAAATAAGGTCAAGCAGATTTTTTACTGATTTTTATACATAGTATACTACCCCATTGAATACGGCAAATAATGCACATTTGGGTCAAATCAAACCAAATTTCTTTTGTTCATTTGTAAAAATAAAAAAGTTATAGGGGTGAGCGAGTTTTGAAAAACACTCTATAGCTCCTAAAAAAGAAATTTTTAATTTTTGATACAAAAAACAAAAAACAACTGCTCACAAATTCTGATTGTTTCGAAGCAACAAAATCCTAATTGAAGTCCTAATTACTAGCCTAATTATTCACCAAACCAGTTGTCTACTAAAATTGGTGAAAAAACAGACCATTAACTAAGCCATTAACTTTGTCTTCAACTTGTTTTTATTTGTTCCAATAATATTAGCAGTCAATGCACACAAACAATCAACCTGTTAGTAAGGTGAAGCTTATTAAATTTTCTGACCAATAAACACAGGGTAAGCAACAGTATACGACACAATATTACCTGAAATTATCCTCTTTTCAACTAGGTAACTGAATATTACTTCGGGTATCAATCATAATTTGGTTTAGCAGTTTTTAGTACTTAACAATAAATTCGTCATGCCCCCAACAGCCAGTAAATAGTTCAAGCAAAAGACAAAATGCAAACCTGACCTGTTCAATGGATGTCCTTAAGGTAAATCAGATATTCAATGGTTAACCCTGCTGTATTCAGGCCTATGATGTATCATTTTCTGTTATTTTAGCAGCAACGTTAAGTTATCTGTCACTGTTTATTCTATACATCAAAATTGAGACACAAATAGATGTTGAGCCTTAACACAGCCGTTAAAGTAACAGGACAGGATACATCATAGGCCTGATTGTTATATCCTTGTGTTAACTGTTATCAGTCATGTAATGCACAAAATTCAGTCTAGCTGTCTCCAGGTCCCAGTCAAGTCTGTTTTTAAATGCGTTCTCCGAAGGAGCACTGACTGTGCTTTCCTGAAGGGCGTTCCACTGCTAGACAATCCTATTTGTCAGAAAATTCTTCCTGATCAGCTTTGAGCATGCTGGTTAGTATTTAGACTGAAAATATCCAATTGCAATTCTGGAGAATAATGGTAATTCAAGATTTTGTACGTCTCAATCAAGTCCCCTCTCTTTCGTCTAGTTTTTAGGGTTGTTATGTCGTATCTCAGTAGTATTTCTTTGTATGAGAGATTTCTGGTATCAGGGGGGAGTTTTGTTACTCTACGCTGGACTCTTTCCAAGATCTCAATGTCCTTAATCAGGTATGGGCTCTAAACTGAATGTGCGAACTCCAATTTAGGTCTGATACATGTTTTATATATTTTGCTAATCATGGCGATGGATCTGTCACTAAGAGCTTTCTGTATGAGGTATACAAAAGAGTTTGTCCTCTTGACAAATGAAGAAATATGGGCTTCCCATTTTTAGGTGATTTGAGTTAATGACACCCAGATCTTTCTGCTCGGTGATAGCTTTCATGAGGTAGTGCCGTTTAAGCTGTAAGGTATCTTTAGATTGTTAGGGCCAATGTACAGTACAGTGCACTTGTCGGGATTGAGTGTTAGCTACCCTGTGTGTTTTCAGGTCGTCTAAAAGGTTGTGATGCTCTAAGCACGGATTGCGGTATATTTTTGTATCATCAGCATGAAAAAGGATATTTGTCTTTAAAAGAGAATGACGATCACTGATGTATATGGTAAACAGCAGTGGCCCCAACACCGATCCCTATGGCACCCCACTAAAAACCTTGTATTCGTCAGAGTAATCCCATTTGTTCTCACTTGATTCGTAGAAAACTGCCTATCCATCCGAGGAGCTCAGCCCTGATTCCAAAGTGTTGCAGTTTGGATAATAACCTCTTGAATGGCACTTTGTCAAATGCCTTCTTGTAGTCTAGGTACAGTACATCTACCAGATAGCCACTGTTCACTTCTTTCGTCGATGAGTTTGTGCAGGTGAGTAGGTTGGTTGTGGTAGATCGTTGGGGGAGAAATCCGTCTTGGGTGGGTGGGATGATGTTTTTAAGAAGGAAATATGTCATTTCCTGAACTATTATTTTTTCCATAATCTTGCATAGGTTACAGGTAAGGCTAATTGGTCTGTAATTTCCAGGGTTGAGCTTGTCTCCTTTTTTGTAGATTGGCACTACGTATGCTCGAGACCATCCCTGTGGCACAGTTTGCTGAGTGATTAGTGAGTGCAATAGGTCGGTTATCACTGGAGTTAACGTCCTTTGGCAATTTATTAAAAATATTGTCGGTATTTCATCCGGGCCTGGACTAGATTCTTTTTTCAGAGTAGAGATTGCTTGAATAACCTTTTCCTCAGTGACATCTATGGTTGTTAATGATTCAATAGATCTAGTATTCTGCAATAGCGATGGGAAATTTACTAGGTTTTCTCTGGTGTATACCTTCACAAAGTGATCTGTGAATGTGTTAGCTGTCTTCTGAAGATCAGAGATAATCACTCCCGTGATTGTTTCTCTGAGCACGAGCTTGGATGCGTTGCTGTTTAATTTTCGCTTAACATACGTGTAAAACTATTTCCCGTCTCTGTTGTCCTAGAGACCATTTTCGTATTCTATCCTGGCTGCCCTGATTGTGTTCTTTAAGCTGTTATTTTGAGTTCTGTTCAAATTGTAATTATCTGCTGGTTTGTTCTTGGCGTATTTATCCCAAAGTGTTCCTTTTCTTTCGATTGCTTTAAATATTCCCTTATTTAACTATGGTTTTTTATGATTCACAAGCTTAGGTTTTAGTGGGATATGGGTTTCAATCTTTTTCAATGGTTTCCTTCACTATGCCCTCAAATTGGATGAATTCCATATTGTCAGTATTTGTGCCTGCAAGCCTGTTATT